TGTTTAATGTTTCCTGCATTACACTTGAGTATTCTTTCGTGCCCTTCTCTTCCAGGCAGTATTGATCTATTTAGGGTGAAGATGTGGCCACAAAAGAGCAGCCTCTCCTTCAATCCTCTGCTTTGTTAGCAAGCCTGTGGAGAGCTGCCGCTTTAATATTTAATCATTTGGTTAGATGTTTGCTAAACTACACCTAACCGCTTCTCTGTCACACTGCATTATTCAGGAGGTTTTCTTACAGTCTAAATGTGCCTTCACACGTCAGTCTTGTCAAACAACACCACCGCCCTGAGACTAGAAGAAGGAAATACAAAGGAGCACAGAACACATACGTACTGTGTAAATACCAATAACACAACAGCAGTCACATTGTAGGAGGTAACCATGGCAATCAACATGCCTGGATTGTCAAAAAATGGAGAACAGAGACAGAACAGAGAGGGGGTGGTGGATAGAAAAGACTAATATAAGAGTACTATCTGTAAGTGTCAAAGGAAGAAGCTTGGGGGATGTTATGAAAGAGAAAAGGCTGGGGCACATAAAAGTAGACTTCATACCAAATCAGGCTCAATTTTAGTCTGCAGTGCGATTTATTAGAGCTAACCCCATTCAGGAGAAATCTAAGCTTAAACCACTGCTATGCCAAGTGATGTCCAAATTAGCAGTAATTCAAATGCTTTCTGTAAGCAACCAATAAAATAAACAATAATAATAATGCATTTTTCATTATATCTCGGGACTAATTATTATCCGTTATTTTCCAAAAATGATATTTAGCCATAGCTCTCATCTAACGATCGAGATATTTCCAAAGAGGGGGACCGTTGGTGGCATCAAAATTCAATGGTGTATTTCCAATAGAATTTTCTGTTTCACTTTTAGAAATTGCAGACTTAAAACATACAGTAAAGCTTAAAGCCAAAAAAATTGGGTGCCTTTAGTTTATTGTCTAAACCTATTGTTGGCTGCTCCTTCAGTTAGAAGGGGTCGCCACAGCAGGTACCTCCGCATATTTCAATTGGCAGATTTTTAGACTAGATGCCTTTCCTGATGCCCAAGGGATTTTTATCTCCTGGAATCAAACCAGGAAGCTCAAACTTGTTTTGTAAATCTGTAAACCACTACAATGTAAAGTCACTTATCCAGTTTATTGTCTTTCAAAATTTGCAAAGATGACAGTGAAAAAGTCAAGCCATAGATTTCACAAATCAATGAGTTTAGCGTGACGTCCAAAGTCTGAGCTAGCAAATTGGACCAGTTTTGGCACTTAGTCATGACTGGATTGATTGCAAGAAATGGTTATAATAAAAACGATGATTATGAATGGCTTTAGTAACCTCTTGACGTTTTCTCTAGCAACACCCTGAGGCAGACATTTGTGGTTTTGACCAAATGTCTCAACAATTTCTTTCACCATGAACTGTGCCATCAACAGATGAAATACTTTGGATCATTGCCAGCCATTGCTGTCCTTTGTGTTTAACGCTAATTAGTAAATGTTAGCCATATAACATGATAAACTAAGGTGGTGTTTATTATATCAGCCCTGTTAAACATCAAAATGTTATTATGTTGGCATTAGTATTGGGCTAACAGCATTTTTGTTCGTCTTTAATATGAATGTGTGCAAATTCATCATTTTGTCAAATTAAAAGAAATTTAAATAAACAAGAATAGTAACCATGAAGCATTGTGCTGTCCAGTTAATACATATAATGTATCTAAAATGTTTGGTAATTGCTATAGTTTCTTTACAGGGGGGTATTACAATATTTCACAGATGTTAAATATGACTGTGATTGTTCACATGGATCATGTGTTCATAGTGGGATATTATCTGGCTAATAAATTACATTTACACTGAAAAACATCAGGTATCTGGTATGAATAGGCCTCTGACCAAGCAGGAGGGTAACTCAAGGGTGGATTACTTGATGCTGCGTTCTCTCTTCCTTTCCTCCACCCTCTGTCCATCCTTACCTCCCTCCCCTACACCGAGGTCTGCTGGCAGAGACTGTGCAGATCAAAGCAGGCACAGAATCCGCAGGCCTACTCACCCTGCAAAGAGGTCTGTGCTGAGATGTAAGCAGAAAAAAAATGCAACAAACCAAGGAGCTTGTGAGGAGGAGCAACTACTGTAGCTTCAGGGAAATGAAAACTGAACAGCATATGTTTATTTCTCAGTACCTTTGTTTCCATTAAAGCAACAAACCCATATGCCGCCGGCTTTGCCTTATTGAATCACAAAGCTTTAATGTGTTGGTGATGCCTGCATCAGACTAAACACCACATCTAGCTGAAAAAAGTTGTAATTTTTCAATACTTCTTGATACACTAATGCCAAATATAAAACGATAACAACATATATTAACTGATATCAACTGATAATAACTTGTATTTTTAAATACTAGCTATTATATTTACCTACTGTTGTTACAGGTTCCTGAAATGAAGTGTGGTTAACCTATAAGAGCTCTAATTTGTACATGAGGAAAGTGATTAAGATCAATATAAGAAAATAATTTAAATGCCTGGATAGCCCCCACGTATGATGGCTATATACACTACATTGGCAGTTTTGCCCACCTACCTATTTAAGCAGAGTAGTTTGAATATCACCAAGGGGGAGTCTTGCTTGCAGACACCAGGTATATCACATACATTTAACAAAATGTTAAATGTACCTATGCAATATGTGCATACATTAATATACAGGTTAACAACCCTAATGCCATCACTATATCAGCAAACAACCACAGCTAATAACAGGACAGATCTGTCTAGCGATAGAACCTCAGCGTTGATGGAAGCAATTTAAACTTACTACATAAAAAGATGCTGAGAGTCCAGTTAGGTGGCATGTGCCTGCTGAATCTCTCTGATATGATTATAAGGGCCCCTGTTACCCACAAGAGTGGAAAGCTGACCAGCTTACTCCGACCAGCTTAAAGGTGTCTGTGGCATGGTTTTGACTCCAGATTATGAAAAGACATAGCTTTCAAAATAAAAGTTGTATTAAACTTGACTGTGGGCTCTAAACAGAGGAAAAAAACTGGGGGGGAAAAAACACCAAAATTGCCCTTTACATATATATTTCTAAATTTTGTAGCAAGTGATATGTATGTTTCTTAAGTTCTCTTTCTCTCCATCTGCCCAGATAGAGCTCTGCTGCTAGCAGGTCACACGGATGGCACATAGCTTCAGTCACTGCCTTTGAACTGTTGCCTTGGCAACTTTGGCACACAGGGTTATTTCGACCTCTCGGTTGCTGCTGTAACTAAAACCACAGCCTTTTGCTGCTGACCTTCAAATGCTTACTAAAGTTGGGAAAGCGTGCTTTGCCAAAGAACCCCTGCAGATATGAAAGAGGGCAACATCAGACCCAGAATTTAATCTAAAAAAAATCAATATTCCTCATCTATTTTTGCAAATGCCCAATTCACACTTAGCAACAGTGCAATGTACCATTACTGAGCATTTAATTAATAAAATTTACTAGCAGCATTCTCATCTCAGAAAATCAAATCGTGCCAGTGTCACGGAACTGCGTACAAGGTCTCCTTTGGCGTTGTTCTTTGGAGCCATAGCAATTTTGGATGCTGTGAGATAAATGCCTTGTTGTAAAGTGCTACACAGTCCACATTACGTGACTCAAGGGATAACAGCAGATTAAGACCAAGCAAAAACCCTCAGGGCAAAAAAAAAAAAAAAAAAAGTGCCGAAATCTGCAGTTCTTCTTATAGCCACTTGAATTAGTCCCCATAGACGCTAATGTTAAAATGCCTAACTAATAGCATTAAAAATATGTTTACAGACTGGTAGAAGGAAATGGTACTGGACTCAGGGCATGAATTTTTTTGTTCCTCATTCGTTAGGATACTGGAGTTAGGGGTGTGTCTGTTTTGACTGACAGCTGTCCTGACACAGGCAGCTGAATCTTGTCTGCCAGCCCTCTCCTCTGCAAAGTTGAGTCACTGAACTAGATCTCTCCACTGTGTTTGTACTATTGGCATTTTTAATGGAACTATATTATATGGTTTACTGTGTGGAACAGCCCATCCAAGTTTGTCCATCTATTCTGGTGAGTGAAATTCTAGTATTTTCTTTATACACTGTAACGATACTGTTTGCCAAACAATGTTGTTATTGTTAATTTTATAAGTCAGCATTTCATCCAACTACACTGATTAAATTCTGGCTTAAAAATAAAACAGCATGGTAGAAGCCAAATCACTAACACTGAGGCATGAAAATGCAGAGTCCAAAACCTGTGGGAGACTTCACGCTGGCTGCATCCATTTTTTATCCCATCCACCATTAAGCTGCAAGTTTGTCATTGAAGAGGAGGTTCATGTCCTCTTTGAAACCTCGTGTGTGGCCTTATTTTCCTTGCCTCGCTATTGAGGTTTAGGCACAAATATGACTTGGTTCAGTTGAGGAAAATAATGCGGTTTGGGTTAAAACAGTTCAACAAAAATTTGGAGTGACAGCCCCGTCTTACTATTGCATAACTCAGATGCTTCGTGCCAAGGTGCCAAAGGACACCATGTATATCTGTGAGATGCCACTGACTCTGATAAAAATGTCAGCATTTGACACCCTTGGATTGCAAATGAGCTTGTACACATTTTTTTAATGCAACTATGCAATGAGTCTGTCACGTGAAACTTTTGCATGTACAGCAGATACCGGCTGGGAGCATCAATCTTTGTTCACATCAAGCATTAGAAACATGGTATGAAAAGCAAAACAAAAAACAACAACAAGCGAGATGCATGAAAGCACCTTGAGAGGTCTGAGGACAAAAAGCAGACTGCTTGAAGCTGAGAGGTGGTGTTTGTGATCAAAGCATCAGTGAAAAGAGCTCTTCATCTGGCCACTAGCAGTAATTAGCCTGAGAATCCACAGTTACATTGTTCATGTACTGAATAAAAATTATAGCTATAAAAAAATACACACTTGATAGTCATGTTCTGTGTTTTACCTCTGCATTGACTCACCTATATACAGTGAGGAGTCTTTTCTGTGGACATGGTCATCAATGTAGGACACTCCTAAGGGCTGAACAGGTGTTGCCCCGATGCCCAGCAGGACCTGGGCTCCGATGAGCAGAAGGTACATCATGTTGGTGTTGGCTCGATTACCGCATTTAAACCCAGAGTCTCTGTTCTCTGACCTGGAGATGTTGGAGCAGACATCCCTGCCATCCTCGGCATGCCACGAGTCACCGGCCTCGTACTCATACTGATGAGTCAGGAACTCTGGCAGGGCTGACAGCAAGGCCCCCAACGCCATGACAATGCCACCGCAGCCAATCAGCCGGGGCCGGTGAGCCTTGGCGCCAAAGTAGCTGACAAAGAGGATGAGGGCCAGGTTGCCGATTTCAAAGCTGCTGGCAATGACACCCACATCTGCACTCTGGAGGTTGAAGCGTCTCTCCAGAGTGGTCAGAACACTTACCTGGCAGAAAAAGAGAGAAAAGGAAGAGAGATGAAGGACAAGTGCTACAACTAGCAGCCAATGGTATCACAGCAACTCGTTTAAAGTGAGTTTATATACTTGAGTTTAGTTTCTGTGCTATAAATTGCTGCAATTAAAGTTATGGGAGTATAAAGTTTATATATTTTCCATTTTAAATCTGTTTACAATAATACGAGTATTTAGCTTCAGGTGCTATCAGCCATCTGTCACTACCTTAGAGCTCATATCAACCTGTTGATAACACACAAGCTGCAAATGTGCCTATCTCCATCCTCCTGCTATATAGCTGCCAAGAAGGTCCCCAAGGCTTAACCTGATACAAACCTGAGAAAAGGGAATATGTGCATATGTGTGGCTCAAGGCAAGAAGCTTCACGTAGCTGTTCTAATTAAATGGACACAAACATGTGCCAGCTGTGTTCAAGGTGCCTAAGTGTTAAAGTGGCTCCTTGCATCAAATGTATTGGATCATCTACAAGACTGAAGGTAAACAGCTAGCTAGAAGTTATTTTAGTAATCCTTCATCCACAGCAAAACTAAAGAATAAGCCCAGAGCAGGTCCGAATAAAAAAAGCGAATGAATCATGTTCATTGAGCTCAGGTGAATTATGCATAACGGCTTTTCATCCTGTGCTGTATTGTTTATCCTGTCACACAGAGCTCCACTGCAGAGTCAAAAACTGGATCATATATCTGCTGATGGATCCATGTACCAAGACCTCAGCCTAGTCATGCTGTACTGGTGTTGTCCTTGGAGAAGGCTAGAAAACAGTCACCCTTCCATAAAAAGTGTACAGTCGCTGTCTGACTACTAACATGAAAAGATCTGAGTCAAACACTGATGTATTTCAACTGTGGCAAACTAAGTAACAAGATCTGCTACCATATGCATCTGATTAGTATTCAGATTTGTTTAAATTCACCGAATGCTCAACTTATTAAACAATTCCATTCAATAACATTCCAAGATTTGGATGACAAGGTTGAGACAAGTCTGTTGTAGTACATTTAGCAGCCCACTGTGAATCAATAAAACAGTATTAAATAGTGATAGCAAACTATTTCATAGGACAGGAGAGATGTTGGTTCTGTGATGCTTTTATTTGCAGATATTTGCTAAAGGTGCATCTTTGGTTTGGGATGTTTAAAAGAGAAAGCTCCACAACAGGCTTCAAGGACAAAAGCTAAACCAAAAAGTTGGCTCTAATGAAATGTTTGAACTCACCATTTTTAAATTAACCTTGCTGTTTTGACTAATATCAAAGAAGTGCTTCTAATTATCTGCACCTTTCAGAGTGTGTTTAGCAGACAGGTAAAAAAGATCCTGTCTTCCTAAGCTCATTAAAAATAACTTCCATTCCCTTCCTGTTACAAAGTTATTTATGGTATCAAGACTGTGCTGACATTTATCAAGGAATTGGCTTTGATAAAAATAAATAAAATAATGCTGATTACAATAGCGTATTTGTTCTTAAAAAACAAAACAAAAAAACTGATTTCCAGTAAGTGGCTGAGCCAAAACCAGTGCTGACAGTTATTCTAAATGCTGAGTTCAAGGCTTTGTCATTCATTTCACTCCTGCATTAGCGATGGCTGATGAAATCTTTATTTATTGAGTCAGAAACACATTTTTCTCCCGTGCTCTTGCAACATAAACTTGATCTCTTATGTTGACATACATCTAATCATAACAGTGCAGTAACAGCTTATAACTCTGATCAAGCTGTCACAGGAAATGCAGTCTGGTTAATGAGGGGGAGAAAAAAAGCTGCTGTCTCCTGTGTTGTGGAGATCACGTCATCTCCTAGGCCTATATCCTCCGGTGTCAAAGGCCTCCTGCATTATTGAGACATATGGGTGCAGAGCGTGTAGCAGTATGGACCTCCTGACCAGTGTTTCGTAAGCTGCTCTCTAACAGACCATCCATATGAGCAAGTAAAATTTTCCATATATCGTAGAGTCTACTGCCGCTGTGACGCGCTTTGTGACATGCAGATGGCGCATAGGCCTGATGGATAATACGCAGCAAGTCATCAGTCAGTGGCTCCTGGAGGATGTAATTTTAGTAATGTGATCAAAATAATATGGCTATTAAACGCAGCAGCTGAGCACCCGAAGCAGCGCAGCGTTTTTTCACTGTCTGCCCGCGCCGGTCTGAAGGGCGCTGCGTTAACCCCATGTTACCTGAGAAACATGACGTTCCTTCAGACCAACACTGTGTCCCCCAAACTCACCAGATAGGCGCCCACGGTGCCCTGTGCCAACATGAGAGCACATTCCGACACCAGGAATATCTTAATGTTGGAAAAACACGAAGTCTTCTTCTGATTGTCATCTTGCTCCGGGTCGTCGTTGCTGCTCCGCTCTGTGCAGATCTGGTTTTTAACCTGCATCCTTCGGCTCAAGCTCCGGTCAGGTTGGACGGCATGAAACTGAACGGGTCCGGTCCGGCGGAGGGCATCTGGTTATGATGGTGATGACGAGCTGCACTGCAGAAGAAGTGCGAACCTGCTGTCAGGAGCCCGTCCAAGCTTAAATATACAGCAAGAAACCCTGCTGTCCACTCAGCAGTGCGCACAGTCCGTCAGCGACCTCTCTTCACCGCCTGTCCAGTCAGTGCCTATCGGCTACATCACATTTAAATACGTAACTTACGCTAGTGTTACATATGACGGCTTAAGCGTAGAACTACAGTACGCTCTGCTTCCCCACATCCGGGTTTTGTTTTTTGTTTTTTTACTCAAAATTTCCCCAAGCCGACTGGTTCTGGTTTCCCAGTCCGGTTCCGAGACGCAGCTCTGCGTCCCGTAAGCAATGTTATGATGCTCCTCCCATCCATGGACCACAGCGCTCTTACCTCACTGCCAACCCCTTCTCTCCTCCCAGTTCCTCCCTTTCTTTTTCGATATACGCATCATCCATTACAGATTGAATCATTTCCACAGAACACTGCATCAGTAAGCTTCGATAAAGCATTCCCGTAACTTCATCATGGCGTTTTCTCTGCACTTCGCTGGTAATTTTCATCCTTGCATTGCAGATTAATTCAACAATTCGCATTATATTCCATTCTGAGAAGATCTCTGACTCCTCAACAACTTCTGGCGAGTCGCTGTATAGAGTAGCTGATATTTAGATGTGTCAAGTTAGATTTTAGGTCCTAAGCTGCGTCACTGTGAAAAACTATGGATGATAACAAATAAAGAAACGGTGGATGAACAGGACAGTGTTATAATGATGCACTCTTCAAAAAAGATCCTGGCAGCAAGAAAGTTTATTGTGGGAATATATACACTATACACATATAACCTCACAGGACACTTAATACACCTATACACACTTGTTGCTGATTAGTAATTACAAATATCTAATCAGCCAATCACATGTGAGGCATGAAGACATGGTCAAGATGACTGCCTGAAATTCAAACCAAGCTTCATAACAGAGAAAAAAAATTATTTACGTGACTTTAACCATAGCGTGATTGTTAGTGCCAAATTGGCCAGTCTGAATGTTTCAGAAAAAATAGGATTTTCCTGCACAAGCCTCTCTACGATTTACAGATTTGGGCCGGAAAAAGTGAAAACATAAAGTTAACAGCAGTTCTATAGGGAAAAATGCCTTTTTGATGCAAGATGTCAGAGGACAATGCCCAGAATGCAACACATTGGACCTTGAAGCAGGTGGCTACAGAGGCAGAATCACACTGGGTGTTCAGGTTCTAGCTTACAAGCTTGTAAGTTTGTTGGCTTACAAGCTAATAGCAGGAGCCTGAGCATGCGGTTTTAATCAGAATTGGTCAGGGAATTGGAAAAATTATGTTTTGTCTGGTTCTAATCTATGACATTTGCATAGTAGAGTAACAGATTTTAAGTAGACAACATGAAAGCAAGGACCCATCCTCCCTTGTATCAGCTTTCAAGGCAGTGGTGGTGTAATGGCATGGGGGATATATTCTTGGCAGACTTTGAGTCCTTTAGTGCCAGCTGAGCTTTTTTAAACACCACAGCCTATTGGAGTATTGTTGTTGACCATGTTCATGGCTTTATAACCATCTTCTGATGGCTGCTTCCACCCAGATAAGGAACCATGTCACAAATTGCAAATTGTCTCAATCTGGGTTCTTGAACAATGAGGTCACTGTGCTCAAATGATACCAACCAAGCCAATAGAGCGCCTTTGGGATGTGGTGGAACAGAAGATTCACATCCCAGATGTGCAGCTAACAACTATGCAGCAACTGTGTGATGCTATCATGTCAGTGTGGACAAAAAAGTCTCAGGAATGTTTCCAGCACCTTGTTGAATCTATGCCATGAAGAATTCAGACAATTCTTAAGGCAAAAGCGGTAGCGGTAAAAGCACTATCTAAGAGGCTAGTGAGTGTACACCATGATTGTTTGATGATTTAAGCTTTTTTAGCTTTAATTTACTTTGTTTTGTTCACTTTAAGTTTTTTAAGATTGAGAAGGTGGACAGTGTCTTCTCTTTTGTTTTTACAAATTTTCATATCCTGAAGGATGGGACCGTCCCAGACTTTTGTGTCACAATGAGTGCCATCATTGTCAAGGTTCACAATAGGAACAAAAAAAATCTACACAGCAGCATATGCTTGTATAATTGTTCTTGTGGGCTCCTGTTCAAAGCTGAAATTATTATAATTAAATAATTTGTGTCGGCATTGCTTAGATCTTGAATAATTTGTGAACTAGCTGTCCATACTAAAACAATTTCTCCTATTCAAATAGCGCAGAAGAAATCTTTACATTAACCAAAAAATTATATTATCTGTACCAGAACTGAACCAAGTACAGACACTATCTGAAGCATTAAAGTTTATTTTGTGAATTTTCATTTGTGTGGGGTAATAGTTTAGCTAATCTTCATCTGCACTGTATAGTGTGTGTTTTCTTCTATATTTGCATAATATTATTGTTAGGTATGCGGCATCTATTTATGCCCTGTCATGTGAATTTCCCATCTCTGGGACTAATAAAGGCTATCTTATCATATCCTGTCTTATAGCTTTGTACCTCGCACAATCAGAAGAGTAGTTCAAATCCCTGGGTATAGCATCTTATTGATTTTTTGTGAGAGGTACAGTCACATCTTTCTCCCTTAGTGCTTTTAGGTACAAGATATACTTCTTACATCCAAAAGTTGGGAAAGCCCTGTGTTGTAGGAGCCAAAATATTATAATCAATTTAGAGCAAAAAATAGCTTAAATAATGTAGAATAGCTCAAAATAAAACACAGCAAAGCAAGATTGCACCGTAAGGTAAAAAGAAAAAGTGCAATAAAATAACACAGATTGCAAAAACCTAAATATAGTGCATCCATAAATTTTCTTTAATGCTGATCCTGTTCAGGATGAAGCCCATCCAGGTGTATATATACTGGCTATACCCCGGACAGCTCACCAGCTGTTCGGCTGTTCTCCTCACAAAGGGTTATATTATCTACAACCACTGTTTGAATAGACCAAAATATATCTGGTGGTCACAAAAATGTATTATATTGCCATCCTTAACGTACCTAGCTCAGACACAGTGTATCATGTTCAATCATTTCCATTGAGAACTGAAGCCAGCTACTTGTTTTCTTTTTCTTCAATGAAAAACCAAACATCATGAAGCATGTTTTACTCTAAATCAAATCACTGTCTGGCTGCAGGGATTTGACTGATGACTTATTCATTCTGACATTTTTAAGCAGAAGAAATGAAAAGAGACTGGCAGGACACAGCAGCACAGAGACAGCTCTAAAAGGTTCTTCTATTATAACTCTAAAATAAAAAAGGAGTGAGTGCCAATGTCACTTACCACGCTCCCCTCAGCTTTTGGCTCGCAATATTCCTCGGACAGTTCGGATGCTCTATCAGGACCAATTCAATAGCATCTGAAGGAGTGCAATCCATCAGGCGAAATGTGGACTCAGCAGGGAGAACATCCATTTCTCATGGAGTCACCCTGAGCACCCGGGGTGATTTAAGATCAACCACAGTGCCTGCTGATGCGGTGCATGACCACTGAAGGCATTATTTCAGGACGCATCTTAATCACAAGGTCCGCTGAAAGAATGATTTTATGCATTTATCCAGTGGCAAACAAACACGTCGCCTGAACAGAGATGTGTTCTCTTGATGCCCTTTGAAGAATCTGGCTTCACTCAGGTATTTTATTTTGGCATTATATCTGTTACATATTTGCCCTTGCTGTTGTTTGGATTCTCAGCGAATATTGAATATTTTTGTAGAGTGGCTCTAAAGAAACATCTACTTGTATTTCAAGAGACCAAGAGAAAAAAAATCATTTTGAATCTGCACTTGTGTATTTTACTTGCTTTTTAAAGCTAAGAACATACCAAAATTAAAAATAAATAAATAAAATATCACATTGGTGTTGAGCTAAAGCAGTATGAAAGCAATGAAACATTATAACTTACCTTTATAATACTTGATAAACCTTACATCAGGTTATCACATGAGTATACCAGGGGTGGGCAACTCCAGGTCTCGAGGGCTGGTGTCCTGCAGGTTTTAGATCTCAACCTGGCCCAACACACCTGAATCAAATAATTAGTTCATTACCAGGCGTCTGGAGAACTTCAAAACATGTTGAGGAGGTCATTTAGCCATTTAAATCAGCTGTGTTGGATCAAGGACACATCTAAAACCTGCAGGACACCAGCCCTCAAGGCCTGGAGTTGCCCACCAATGGACTATACAATGCAGAACGATTTTTAAATAGCATCATAAATGTGATATAGTGACTCATAAATATCCTTATAATGCATTATAAAAATGACCTCAGTGACCATGAAGTACCCTGACCTTTTCATTTCCACAGTGTGTTTGAATAACAGTTACCTTAGTGATCCACTGACTTTGTTTAAATTTTTGGTTTCTGACCAAGTGGCTGCCAAAGGTTCAGCTCTATTTTTTGTTTATAGCTAACGTTTGCATGGTAATACTCTGGAGAGATGACTGCTCCATCGCACACTATGGAAGAGTAACATTCTCCATCACTACAAATAGGACTCATCACCCTACATCCGGAACTTCTGTGACCACTTCAGCCAGAGGGAGGAAGTGTAAATTGATCTACAGACTTTTCCCACAGTCTATAATGATTGAAGAGCTAAAATAACTAGTGGATTTCCTCACAGAGTTTGGTTACGATTTTAAATTACATTTTCGTTACTGGCTTTTCATCAGTACTTTTGTGTCCAAAAGTAAACTACCACTACACATTTTACCCATTTCCGTACATGCTTGTAAAAAACCACACATTCACACACATTAGCAAATCGAAGAAGTTTGTCACAAGAAAGCAAAACTGGCTCCTGTCACTGTCTCTCTTGGTGGAAGTGGCTGCAAAGAGGAACACACGTCTCTCAGCGCGACATCTGAATAACCAGCCCTCGTTTAGCTCCACAATGAAACAGGTGTTCAGATCCTATAGCCCAGTAGGGGTGTGATTTGAGTGGGTGGGAGAAAGTGGGGGGGGCTTCATCTGCTGTTTGAAAATATGGGACAGTAAATGTCAGCTGTATAGATAATGGATACAAACTGTGAGCTATTCTCTTAATAATAACACGAGTATTATTGACCATTATAGTTTTTCTTTGTTTTAAGGATCATGGATGAGCTTTGCTGTTGTAACACTTTTTTTTTGGCCCTTTTCCACAGTGAGAGGAGCCATTTGCATATTCGTCCCATCTGTTTTCGTCTTCCTGTGGTATCTCTCATCTCGGCTGCCTGCCTGCCAACCATTTCTGCCATGAAGTGGGGATGTTTCCGACAGGCTTTGCAATGCATATGGAGAGCCCTCTTCTAA